CACACACACACACACACACACACACACACACACACATGCTGCGGGAAAAATAACGGAAGTGCCGATATGACCGCCGCAGCACACCGACAACGGCGACAACCACATCATGCGCAATGCGCATTTATTGGACGCCTTCTGCAGCATACCTGATCACATGCGAGACTTGTCCGCCCCTAACCCAGGACAAGATATCCCCTTCCTTTTAGCTTTTCTATGAGCAATACGGTATCACCCATTAGTTTTTCTTTGAGCAATACAGTATCACCCAACACCATCATCAGTTTTTTTTGGGAATGCACTTTGCGCAGAATACTTTCATTCAAGAACCCAAGCTTGGGATAGACTCTCCACAAAATACCCACTGCAATGCACATTTCCCACCACGAGGCCTTCACCCCAAAATGCAGAACATGCACATAAACTAAATATAGAATTGCACATGTAACCTTGAAAGCAATGACAATGACAATAGAGTTGATACAATGCATCGAGTAGGCGAAGTACGCGGGTGCAAGCCGTACCGAAGCGCATGCATATCCTTCTATTATATTCCGCACATGCAGTCCCTGCAGCACGGAGCAGACTACCAGTATTTCTTGGGATTGAAAACAAAAGAGAAAAAGGAAGTGCAAAACGCTTCACTACCACGGAAAACTGAAATGATGGGGAGGCTCAGGCGCCAAACCGATTTCCGCCCATTAGGCTGGGTCTACACAATCGCGGGTGCACGGTGATCTTTGCCTGGTGTTCGATGTAACTCGCCCAATGGAAGAAAAATCCTTAGCAGGAGCTATGAGAAGAATTAAGTCGGTCTGTGTTTCCGCAATTTCCAAAGCAGCAAGAGGATCAAGTCTTCCCATGAAACATGTCAGCCTGTTTCCGGTATCTGATACGTATATTCGGGATAGATTCATCAGCCCAACAGACACACGATTGCAACTCCCCGACTAATCTTGCTCCCTACATCCGATTCGGCATTTTACGTCCCTGGTCTTCGGAGTCCAACCGCGGTGATTCGGGCATCTCTCTCTCTCTCTCTCTCTCTCTCTCTCTCTCCCCACACATATCTATCTACCTACGTACCTACCTACGTACCTACCTATCTATCTAATCTATCTATCTATCTATATATCTATCTATCTACCTATCTATTTAATCTATCGCACTTACCTACCTACCCACCTACCCACCTACCTATCTACCTATCTATCTCTATCTAATCAATCTATTTGTGTGTGTGTCCCTCTCTCTCTCCTTGCGTGTCTACCTTGAGTGAGTTCCTGTTTCTGTGCGTTAAGTCTTCCACGTGCTTGTGTGTGCGCTTGGTGACATAAATTCTGGCAAGGGTCTGACACCCTTTGAGGTCAAGGAGAAAATCGCCTTCTATAACTCCCAATGGCCTCCAGTGCAAGGAGGCTCAGCAGATACCCGTACCTGAGCTTGCTCGGCAAGAGTGCGTTAAGGGCCACAATACCTTGATCTCGGGCTGACAATTTGCGCTGAGATAAGGGGACGTACAGGAGCGAAAGACAACAAGTGCAGCAACACGTGGGAAAGCACGAGTTCTGTAACGAATGAAGGTAGACATGATCATATATGGAAAGCGTTGGAACAGGGTAGACGCCAAGGGGGCAGACCAACAAAGGATAACGAGGTGAGAAGCTGAGAAGCGAGACGGAGGTTCCTTATTATCGCCACGAATTGGCGCCCACTAGACTTACACGTGGAGGGCTGGTGTGGAATCTTGTCCGCGTATCTTCTTGTTCCCTTGTCGTAATCCCCCAACCCTCCAACCCGCACCTCTCTCTCTCTCTCTCTCTCTCTCTCTCTCTCTCTCTCTCTCTCTCTCTCTCTCTCTCTCTCTCTCTNTCTCTCTCTCTCTCTCTCTCTCTCTCTCTCTCTCTCTCTCTCTCTCTCTCTCTATCTATCTATCTATCTATCTATCTGTGTGTGTGTGTGTGTGCTTGTGTGTGTGTGTGTGTGTGTGTGTGTGTGTGTGTGTGTTTGTGCGTCTGTGTGTGAACCGTGCACAGAATCCGTTCCGATTATGCCGTCCGCTTCTCCCCTTTGCTCCTCCTCTGGTTAGCGCACCTTCTCCATCCAGATCCTGCTCGTCTCCTGTTCGTCTCTACTCATTTCGTCATGGTTTGCGAATCACGCCCAGTAGGACTACGAATAATGATAGCAAGCCACAATACTGTGATCCTTGTCTTTGCCCCGTTTTCGCTCCTCACTTGTCTGTCCCGTCTGTTCGAATGTGATATTACCTTCCACATGTCCACTTCTACCGCACTGTCGCTTCAAGAGACATAGGACCTGCTACTCTTGAGACATCAATGCTACGCCAGGGCCATGTGCTAATTGACGTCTGCCGATCGCCCAGCACAGGGTTTACCTTAACACCTGAAACCCATTGCAGGTGCCTCTTGGCTCTTTTCTTTGCAGCCTCGAACCTTTCCCGCTCACAACGATTCACTCTCTTCTCTCGATTCGCTCCCTTCTCTCTCTAGAAATCACTTATCAAATTCTTTTTACTCTTCACTCTGATTGAACAAGAGATAATTTGTTTCACGTTCTTTTCTGCTAAAGCATTCTCTTCAAACTCCTCCCACTCCTCCCCAGTCAAGTAGATTAATCCGGATGCCAACCTGAAGCGTTCACTTTAACGAGAGAAGACACGTAACAATGAATGAGAAGGATAACGACGAACAGAAAATTTTGGCCTCAGTAGGTATTGGGCCATCGCCTCCCACCCTTCGACACACCACGATTCTCTGGCCCGCCTCATTTCCCTTCGTTTCCTCATTCCTCCTCCCCTCACTTGATGATAGTGATTAACCAACACCTCATCAACTAATCAGCAGAGGAACGCCGAGGTGACGTGGGAGGACGACGCTGGAAGCGACGTGCCGGTTTTAAATCGCAGACGTCAGCTAGACTGAACTTCTCCGCTCAGCTGAAGCGCGAGTGCCCAAATAGTCTGCGGAGAGGGGTGTTTGTATGTGTCATGCGTCCCCGCTCGTATTTGTTTGTATTTGTCTGTGTGCGCGAGAGAGCACGTCTGCATGTGGAGAGAGAGACAGAGAGAGAGAATGAGAGAGAGAAAGTCCTGGAGAAATGGGGCGCGAAGGGGGAATACCGACGCTGCGACTACCCTGCATCTCGTTCGCTACCTCGCCCGACATTGAAAGAAGCGCCAGAAGAGAAGACGAACATGATCGTTCCGATATGACCGTAATAAGACGAAAAGGCAGCGAACGAAGGTCGGAAGGAACCAGCAGCTGTTATCGAAGGCCCACGTCACCTCTCTCTCTCTTGCCCCGCCCCGCCTCTGTTGTCCTCGGAAGCGTCAGAAATCATGCTCGTGCTCGAGGCTTCGGCCAGAATTTGTTTTTATTTTTATTTTTATTTTACAAGAAAACTCAGCTCATTTCGTTACCACACAAAACGAGGCCCGGCGGCAAGGTCCCACTTGCACGGATTACGAGATTCTGACCGTTGATCTGTGCTATCTACATCTCTTAATTCGTGTAAGTGGGACCTAGCCCCAGAGGTGCAGGCGTTGGGCATTACAGCCTGGTAGCAGAATGGCCAAAACGGGACCACTGCCCTTCGGCCAGAACTCCCGATACCCGGCGGCTTGGCGGGAACTCGTGAGGGAAAGTGGGACCTCCTAAACGCAGTCTTTAGCGTCGATTTTCTTCCGGCTTTCACTCCATTCGTCTGGCCACTTCGCCTGCGTTTTATCCTCTGAAGGTCTTGGGCTGGCCATCCCAGTCTCGAAAGGTCGTTTCGATAACCGCGGAGCAAACTAGGTAGCTCTGCGACCGTACACACTTTTTTTTTTTTTTTTTTTTTCCGCACTCAACAAATTTCCAATTCAAAGGTGAGGCCGGGGGCCTTGGGGCCTCGTTCCACACCACTTGAAATGTAAGGATCCTTACAAAATCATAGTTCCACAGCACCCTAATGAAGACGAAAACGAACTCCGGACTGTTTCCACATTTTGGGATTGTAGGGTCCGCCCTTGAAAAATAAGGGCGGCTCAGGCAAAACGACGGAGATCTCTAGGGAGCCGTCGGAGGTGACTTGAAATGTGAGGGTGGGACCTTACAGATCGCGTCATTCACGGAGGCTGTCGCGAATTTATTTTTTTTCTGCCGAAACGCGGTTGTTCCTGGTGCAGTGCGTTCGTGACCAGCCCTTCGGGTGGGACTTTGGCACCGGCGAGACGCGGTACCGGTGTCTCCAGTGCCGTTGCGAGGCCACAGTAGCCGTTGGGAGGGGAGGAAGGTCGTTCTGGAAGCGGCAGGGGCCGGATGGCCGTTGGCGGTCATTCGAATACGAAATGTGCTGATCGGTAGCGCCGTCCCTGCCAACGGCCAGCAATCGGGGCTGAGATGAGAGGGCTGGACACAACACTCCCTTCGCGGTGGCCGATCCATGTAAATGGCCACTGTGTCAGGAGACGCATTGTCGTTTTCAGCACTGCCTCCTGATGTGCTTGTCTTCATCACGCCTCACGCGTGCGCATGGCAAACCTCCTCAGGAAGACTGCTCTGCTGGCAATCCTCCTTGTTGCATTACTGATCGTCATTGTGGTGCAACTTTGCCAGTTGCTGAGGCACAGTCGGGCCCGTCCACGGAAGAAGCCAACAAAGAAGGACTGCGGAGGAGGCAGGGCAAGGAAGGGGATGGACTATGATAATCTCCATGTCGGGCACATGTATGGGATGGAGGGGGTGCTATGAACGGCGTTCTCGACGGAATGCGTCACCGATTCGACCCCACGTTGGTACGCCCATCTGCCAAGTTACATGCAGCCCTTGCCAGATGATGAGTGGGTGCCGCCCCCTTCAACCCTCCCTCTCGCATGGGGGGCGACACAGACCTCCTACGAGTCCGGGGGCAGATCGGGTGATTGTGGCAATGGGATGGGTCCGATGTCCACCTTGTTGACGGGAGGGCGGGGGGCGGGAGGGGATCCTTTGCAACTGCACTTATCGTCGACGTGCACGATGGATGCGTCAAGAACCGTTCTCGTGGAGCACAACAGTCGGTCACAGGGCGGTGTGTCGGTGACAATGCAGGAGGCCCGAGAAGACAGACTGCAAACACAGTGGCCGCCGAGGTCATCGTCTGCATGCACGAGCAGCCATAGCCGACCGCCAACGTTCTCGACTCCTGTCAGCAATGGGGTTTCCCACACTGTCCTGAATGGAAGAGTGACGACGGCGATTGCGGCAGAGTCCCCACGAGTGATAGAGAGGATCATAGCGCGGTACTCTAGGATGCGTACGGACGTCGAACGTGAGGATGGAGGTGACGCCAACGCTGACGGTGAGGATGTGGCGGAGGAGTGCATGGATGGCAACGATGAGAGCGAGGAGGATGACGAGCCTGCTGTGAAGGAAGTCACATCAAAGGGCGGAAAGAAGAAGGCAAGCAAGAGTCGTGGGAGGTCGAAGGCGAGGGAGGAAGGGGGGGGTGCATATGGCGAGAGTGGGGGAGGGAGCATGCGACAGAATTGGCATTTGGACGAATCGCTCGTCCTCGTGCGGTGCAAGAGGGACCTGGACGATTATATGGCGAGCCAGGGCAGCAACTTCGCGCGGATGAAGACGAAGACATGGAAATGGAACGAGATAGCGAAGCGGATGGCCCAACAGGGGGTTACGAATAGAGATGGGGATTCGTGCATGAAGAGATGGGAAAACATTTTCGGGTGGTACATAAAATTTTGGGACAGGGAGAAAAACTCGGGCGTGCAATCTTTTTTCCTGCTCACCTCGAAGAAGTGCGAAGAGTTGGAGTTCACGTTCGCGATGGATCAACAGCTGTATGATGCCATCCACGCAACAACCCCTAACAATCATGCCATACACCCGCCTAATTTGCTTGACACCGACGGACTGCCTCCACAACAACCGAATGAGGGCGAGGCGGATGGCCAAGCAAGAGGGTCGGCTGTCGTGGGAGAAACGTCTGCGAGTGACAACATAGACAGCGCAGTGGGGGATGGGTATGGCAACAAATCTTCAGGGCGCCCCACCCCACTTCCTCGGTTGACGTCGTTTCCATCCCGATGGAAAATGAACAACCGCAATGAAAAAATAAAGGTAATCTGCCGAAAACAAGAGGTGCGAGAAGAAGAGAAGAAGATAGAGTTCATACAAACTGAAATGACCATTGGGCTTTCATCATCGGACTGCAAAAACAAACCCCAGGAAACGAACTCCACCCCCTCCACGTCCTTCCCTCTCCCCCCGTCCCCCCCCGAATGGCTACAATGATGGCCGAACCTCCGCACTACAATCAGACGGCGGGATCGATCCCCGCACTCATCACTGCTAAACTTGAAAAGGGGCAGAGGGAAATCCCCGACCCACAAAACATCCACGAACCTTCACTCGTCCACAACCCTGATCGCCCAGATGCAATTCCTTTTCACAGAGCATCGTGCAGAGCGAGGGCAGCCTCCGTGGCGGTCGCCTGGTAGACTGGTTGCAACAAATCTTGCAAACCAAGGTCTATGGGGACGGTGTTCTCTTCACGGTCGCGGTCAAGCAACAAACGCCCGTCAAATGCGACCCGACCTCCAACAGCAGATTGAGGACGATACACACGGTAGTGAATTGCTACGGGAGGTTATTCATATTCGTCTTGTGATGACGAAGGATAACCTCCACATCCCGTTGAGCCGTCCAAATGCTCTTTCCACGACCCCCCTCGTTGTCTTCTGTCGTGTGTCGAAAAGAGCGATGTCCCCCGTCTGCTCTGACCCTCCATATGAAACCACAATCCACGTGCACGGGGCATAACCATTGTCCCCCAACAGGTACCATGTTGTCCTCACCCCCCCCGGGAGGACGACGGGGTCCGCGTTGAAGATGTCGCCCGCCTCTGCTCGCCTGAGCAGTGAAGAGTTTCGCAGCATCATTGATAATGGACGCATCAAGGATAACCGACGAAGATGTCGATGATACGCATGTCAAGGTCGACGACAACCTGTGCCACTACTGAGAACTGTTGCGTACGATCAAAGTAGTTTTCGGACGACGCGTTTGCAGGCTTGTCCACATAAATATGGGTGCAGTCGATGGCGCTGAAACAATTACAGAAACCTTTACCGCTGAATGCTCGGACAACCTGCACGAGATGACGGCCGGTAGTAAATGCTATGTTGTCCGGATATGGAGCCAGTATGGCATTTGTCACATCTTCTACAACCTTGATGCCTGACGACCTCTCAATGCCGAACGACGATGTGCCGCTGTCGAAAGTTCCTCCTGATGCCCACCGGTACAACACGTAAGCCACGATATGGTCAGGTTGCAATCACTCTCGATAGTGAGTCAGTCTGCGCTGAATGAAAGGACTGCATGTCGTTGAACATCGTCCTCGTCATCCGCAGTTTGTCATGGAAGTAGTCCTCGCTCGGGTCGTCGGCGATGGTCAGGTCCCTCCATGTTCCACCCATCCTTCTTTTCACCCACCACCTTGCCGTCTCCCTCGGCATCACACCCACCACGATCGCATTCGACGACAAGAATGGCGTATCCCATAGGCCTGGCGAGGAGTGCACGTCCATCAGAGCCTGCGCTATGGCGGCCTCCCGTCTGCCCGTCTGTCTTCCGCTGGCCCGCCGCAGGTTGTTCACCGTTTGCATGTCATGGGAAACTGCAAGCAACGCCATCCCTAACAGCGACCTCTCCCTTGCCGTCAACCTCCACTCCCCAGGTGCATCTGCCATGCCGTCATCCATCTTGCCTACCAAACTGCAAACACGCGCGCAGCTCACTGATCGGCTCACAGGCTATGGCGACCTTCCTCTAAATGAGGCAGGAAGCACGAATATTTCCAGCACGCGCTGTTCACGTACGTGCAGCATAATTCAAATTCAAAATTTGGCCATCACGCGCACTTAATATTGTGGGACGCTGCCTACGCGCGCCCGGTAGGCTGCCTGGCCAAACGGGCCGGACCCGAAAATTGCATGTCCCACGGCCCCGCAGCTGCTGGACAACTTCTTGTCCATCATACTTCCTTCACGGACGTCCGTGCCCGAGAGGCCGACCTACACCCGACCCTCCTCACCTGAGATGTAAGGGCGGGGAAGTGTAGGGTCTTCCTTACGGGTTGTGGAACGAAAAACGAAGTTAGGGTACATTACGCACCCTCGGCCAGTAAGGGTGCCCTTACACTGTAAGGATTCATAAGTGCTGTGGAACGAGGCCCCAAGTCCCACTAGTGGCCAGAAAAGTATAGGAATGAGCACCTTATGTGTTTGTGACAGGCTTTTCAGCCATAAATCGCAAAGGGATTGGACGGTCCTAATGTTGTTGCAGATCTTTCTCACACTCTCATTGGCCATCACCTGTGCGAGGTATTATTTCTCATCGTTTGAAGGGTTTTCATTTCTGGCCGGTGTTTTGATGGGTCAGGAATAAAAACAAGTTCAAAAATTGGTAAGGGTCATAATTTTTTAAAAATTGTAAGAAGAGTGTGTCAGTCTGAGCAGACTGCCCTCTCTCTCTCTCTCTCTCTCTCTCTCTCTCTCTCCCCCCCGCCCTCCTCTGTGTGTGTGTGTGTATGTGTGTCTGCGCACAGGCACATGCTTCGTTCATGGACGTCCACTCCACAGCCTTTGGGGCTTCTCACCATATACGCGACAGTCAAAAACTATGGTGATGTATATTCCCATGTACAGACAAAAAATGCATTCTCATTTTCCACATTTGATGAAATGAAGGGACACCCAACAACCGACACTCCCGAAACTCCTGGGAGATTGTCAACATTGCAGGACCTTTCTACACGGTTTTCAGAATTCCTCAAAACAAGATTTGAAATGGTGTCACGTGCTGCCACCCATCGCCGCACCGTATAGGAATCAAAATGAAACTTGTGCTAGTGAGACTTGAACCCGGGGACCTCACAATTCCACCCCGAGATACCGTGGCAGCATCAACCAATTTAGCTTAAAATACCTCCCCGCCGCACCATATACGAATCAAAACGAAACTCGTGCTAGTGGGACTTGGCCCCGGGGACCTTACAATTCCACCCGGAGTTATCCTCGCAGCATTAGTGTTACATGTTGTGCCTGCAACAGGCTGCACGGGCCATTTTCAGGCCCGTGTTGTTTTCAGCTTGAAAGCCTGAAAACAAGGGCCTACAAGCCCCGTGTTGTTTTCAGCCTGAAAGCAAGGGCCTACAGACCCTGAGTTTTTTAAGCCTGAAACTAAGGGCCATTTTCAGGCCCTCATAAGATCGACCTGCCCTGAAACTCAGGCGCCAGACCAGGGTTTTAGCTCAGGTCATTCTTGGCCTATTTTCAAGACAATCTTTAATTGAGCTTCATCCCCAGGGTCTGGCACGTTTTGGCATTGGCAAGAGCAACCTCCTGGACGGGCCAGCACTATATAGGACTGGCCCGCCCTGCAGGCTGCAGATAGCTCCTAGGTACTTCCCAGGCACTTCACGTACAGTTCAGGAGGCAGGAGGTAGTCTTTAGGATTTGGCAGCAGGACTCCGGAGGAGCGTTGCAGGATTAGTAGTAGCGCTATCAGTAGTTTTCAGCGCTGGGCGCTAGTAGCATTAGCAGTAGTCTTCAGCGCTGGGCGCTCTTAGGAGCTACAATAGTACTAGAGAGAGAGAGATTGGGTGGAGGCCAGGGATACTTACCTGCAGCGCCATAGATCCAGCTTCACCTTCGAGGTACCCGCAACACAATGCCAACCTCAGAGGTTAGTACCTGGCATAGAAAGAGAGTTCTTATTCTTCCTCTTCTCAGTTCGCCATCTCCATCTCACCCTCTCCCTACCTGACTTCACTGCATCAGCAGACTATGAGAGAGCGGGCTAGGTGACATTTGGATCCAGACTCGACATTTGGGCTTCAAACATTTTGACGAGGGATTATTTGGGACTTGTAACAAAGACTTGGTGTTGACGACATTCCCATCTCTCCCCCTCTTCTTAGTTTGTTCCCCTTCTCTTCGTTTGTGCATGATTTGGACCTGGATCCTTCTCCTTGTGTATAGCGCCAGACCTCTTCACACTTGTGATGAGAATGATGTATGTTGGGTCTGTGTTGCAACGTTGATTGGGCTAGTCATTGTTATCCTAGCATTCTGCTGCGTTGTCTTGCACTACGTGATAGAGGTCAGTCCCGGTCAGGTCAGGACTTGTATCTAAGTCATCCGCTATGCCACAAGGCGCCATTTTGTATGTATCAGAATGCACATTGCTTGTTGAGATTCCACTTGTCCTGCATTGTCCATTCAGTCATTTTTATCACATTGCGGATCCTCGGTTTATTATGTACATCGCCCAACTGGGCATGTAACAGTTGGTATCGGAACACTGCACGTGAATCAGGACAACCTGATCAGACACGTGTGCGGGGACTAAGTAGCTGATTAGTCTGCATTGATTGATTAGAGCACACTAGTTAGCTCGCAAAATCATGATTTTGACCTCACTGCCGAAAATCGATTTTTTTTTATTTTCTCGGATTTTGTTTTCTCGCTATTTCTGTTGTGGAAAATCGCAATAGCGCAACACCTGAAGTTTGGGCGTCGTTAGACACTCCTTGGGAAGGTGAAATCCACAAGGACGTGCTCGTTCCACCTGTCCTTGGGGACGAAATTGAAAAAGAAATGTGAAAACGCCAGAAGGAAAATTCCTTGTGGCATCCTTGTGGCCCTAACCATTTCTTCCTTGTGCCCAAGGGACCTCGTGAGGTCCCCTGGGCACAAGGAATCCGCGTTTCACAGAGAGGAGAGGGCACACGAGTAGATAGACGTTACAACTGAGAATCTGGATCG